TAGGTTTGGTAAAGACAGCCCAAACAATTGGCATTATCTAGCTAAATTCTAAAACTACTCTCTTATATATTCTCTCTCAAACAATTGGACCCAAACCGTCTCGCTCCCCCCCTACCCCCCCCCCCCCCCCCCGCCCTTCGCCGCTCACTTCTCTTCTTGTTCACTGCTTCCCCTCCCCCCTTTCTCTTCTTGTATTTCTTCTTCTATCTCTTCTCTTTCGCTCTCATAGTTTAGTAAAAATTCTTGCAAATTATACAAAAGAACCAGTGGGATGAAAAGGTAAAGTTGATCTCACATCAGAGAAAATCAGAAGCAAAAGTAAGAGAGAAAAAATATATTTCAACTTTGTTTTTCTTCTCTCTTCTTTTTTTTTTTTTGGTTGGAGTGAATGAGTTGGTGTGATTAAAATTGGTTGAAAATACCTAAACGAGGCTATACAAAATTTGAGCAAGATTATAAGTGATTTAGATTGGTTTCAGGTAAAAAGTCAGACATAAAAATCCAACTGCGACATATGTATATCACGTTGTATATCGTGTACATTAGTGTATATCATACACGGGCTTTTAAGGATGTCTGTGTATATCACTTTGTATATCGCGTATACAACACAATTAATTTATGGACGCCCATGTATATCACATTGTATATCGTATATATAACACAAATTTTTATGGGTATACACAGATATACATGCTATACTTGAGATATCACTGATGTACATAGAGATATTAACGGGATACAATAGGGGATACACATGTGAAGTTGTCTTGAACTTGGGTTTTCAATCTGAAATGTGTTATTCAAAGAAGGAAAATAAAATTTTAATATACTTTTTTGATATACACATTATTATTATTATGTTATACAATGTGATATACAAATAATATAATTATTGTTATGCTATATATATTTGGATATACAGATAAAAAAAGGAAAACTACCAGCTATGTCCATTTAAAAGTAGCTTATTACAAAAATTGGCCAATTCATAAAATATTACTAATACTAGCCAAATATTACTAATATTAGCTAATTAGCTATTTGTAGCAAAAAAAGGTCTTTGCTTTCTTTTGAGTGGTTGTTATTAGAATAGATTGGATACATTTTAAGGAGCTTGAGTCTCAATTTTGGGATGATTTGGTGAAGTTTTGAGGTGGTTTGAATTGAATATTCAAAGTAAAAACTGAACATGAAAAAAAAAGATATGTGTATCACACTGTGTATCATTTGTGTGACACATATGTATCATAGTGTCAATTGTGTATTATATATATACCTGTGTATGAGATACATGCGTGATACATGTGTTGATACACGTGTCGCGGAAGAATTTTTTGAATTCGATTTAATTACGAATTTTGATACAAAACCAGTCCAAATCACCTCCAATCTTCCTTAAATTTTGTATATTGACTTATCTATATGTTTTTCAACTATACCTATTGAAAAAGTTTCTTTTTTGCTTAGATTTTTGGAATAATGTATATCTTTTTTTTTGTATTTCATCACCTTATTTGCTACCTCATCCATGAAATTTCCTTTCTGTCTTGCATCTAATGTTGCTAATCACGCTTAAAATATGGAAGGAGATTTTTCCATGTGATTCTTTGAGAGAAAGAACCTTATTTATTTAATTTTTTAATTTTTATATGTGCTTGGCTAGTTTTGGTAAGTTTATGACTAATGGCTAGAGGTTGGTAAGTTGAGACTTATTTGGGATATTCGTGTAAGTTTCCCTAAAAAACTAGAAAAATAATTTAAAAAATATTTGAGAGTTTTTTCAGATACTACCGAAGGAAATGGAACCTAATTTCTAGGATGATGGTTGCTATGAGAGAAGAGAGAGAGGCTTTTAAATTTTTTGCTATTTTAAGGAAAATAGATTTGATGGGGCTTATTTTTAGGATGGTGATTGAATCATTAGAAGAGAGAGAGAATAACTTTAGGCTACCATATGCCAAATCCTAAAACGTTAGCTTTTTATACCAATTGTTGGACCTAGTTGTCATGTCATGCCAAATCCCCTCAAACATGAACCCAATTTTGTCCAACAGTAAAGGATCAACGAATGAACATAAAAATAATTATAGCAATAGAATATTTGCTTGCTAATCCTTTTTTAAGTATTATTATTATTATCATTTTTTTTATAATTGGGGATTAAGATTCGTGCACGACGGTTAAGGGCCTACATCATTAAACTAATTCAGATGATTATCTTAAGCTCAAAAAGACGAAATAGCTTACGAAATAGCATCGTTGATGTAGTACGAATTATTTAGCTTAAAAGAGGGTGAGTGGGAAATGGAGGGAAAATAAAAATGCTTCAGATTCGGATTCGGTCAAATGATTGATTGATTAATTTTTGGACCAAATTTATTTGTTAATATATGTTTATATGTTATTTTATCTTTTCCAGAATTAATTTACAAATACAGTTTACTAACATATACAAATTTGGCAAATCAAATCCTTTAGGCAACAATTAGAAGCCCAAGCTCATAAACATAAACGAGGGAGTATGAGATTAACAGGACTCTACAATCGATACAGTGGTTTTTGTTCTTGTATAGGTCTAAATTTGGCGTATCGATGGTAAAGCATAATTAAGATAAAGGACGGGGTCGACCATGGTATGACAACTGAAGTTTGCTTTCAAGACGTTTGATGCCAAAGACGGGCAGCTATGATAAGGAGACAACGGTAGCCTAAGTTCAAATATAGACACAAGGAAAATTTCTTTAGGATATTCCTTGCTTTGTACTTTTTAGGGTTTTTGGGAAATGTAGGAAGAGATAGAGAACAAAAAGGATCTTCACTTCTTGAAAAAAAGGACTTTATGTAAAGGGTTGATGATCACGCCCAACTCTAGTCCTAAAAAGGATAAGCGGTCGCTGCAAATATAATCCGGTCTAAAAGTCCGAAGTCGAATCCCACAAAGAACTAAGGCTTAGCTATATCTGTTTAATATCACTAAGAAGACAAATTTGAACAATTTTCTAAATTATAAAGATTGAGATTTATATTTCTAACTAATTAACTAGCAAATACTACAAAGCAGTAAAATTATCAACTAATGAGACAAAGGGTTGGAGACTAAATTAAGGAGGTCTAGAGTTATGATTTCCCCAATTGTTGATTTCATTAGTTGTATGTTTCTTATAGCTTTGACTTAGTTGCCTCTATCAATCATGAACTCTCCAGCTATCATAAATCTCTCTCAAGCAATTATGATAATTTACTAGACGCACTCTCTCAAGCTACGCTAGCTAGATTCACATTACAGTTCACTTAGATCGCACCCGAGGTATCGTTATCTCTAATCCAACCTCTAAATCCTCGGTTATGACTCTCGCCTATACTCCGGGAGTGATGTTGTTCAAACAACTACCTAAATATGCACTCTCTCTCAAACAGATACATAATAAATAGGAACGGCTAATTGAGGATCCTTTCAATTAACCAAAATCAAAACGTAGTTGAACAAATAGAGATTAACAACTAACTCAAAACTATATTAATATAACAACCAATTCATCCCCAAAAGGTTCCATCAAAACCCTAGAAAACGAATTAGCTATTCATAATAGTATGTAAAACTACAATACTAAAAATCATAACCAACAATGAAAAAAATAGGAAGAAGAAGGAAAAACTCGTTGAAGAATTCCGCGCCTTGCTCCTATTGTGTTCTTGACTCCTTAGGTCGAATCTTCGGTCTCCTTAGCCTCCTTAGGTCTAAATTATGTCAAAAGTGTGTCCTCCTCCCTTCAAAATAGGTTTAGGACCCCTTTTATACGAGTTGGAATAGTGTAGGGCCGAAATAACCTCGTCCCGGACGAAATAGGACTTCTTCTTGACGCCTGGAGCGGCGCGGCTGCGGCCAAAACGCGGTAGGACCGCGGCCAGACAAGTTCTCTGATTTTCTGCCGCTGTCGCGGTTTCTACCGCATTTTTCACCCTGTTCCGTTTGGAATTTGGAAAAACGTAAAACATGAAAGTTGTAGCCCTTTGAGTTAGTTTTCCAACCATATATTGCGGAGTCCAAATGGAGTTTTGAGCAAAAAGTTATGTGTATTTTACTAGACAGTGCGCAATATGCCTACTCGAGTCTTCGTTTTGTTGTTTTATCATCCGTTGATCCTCGAATACGATCCCGGCTTAATTCCTTGGGCTTTTACTCAGACTTCAAAGCTCCAAATCACTTGAATTCATTCCATAACATCTATATATCTCGGAATCACTCCTACAAGGCATAAAACACACCGTTAGTGCAAAACACTAGCGATTAAAGCGCAAACTCAATTAAAATGCAGTAAATTAGAGTGTAATAAGTGACTAAAATACGTAATTATAGCCTATCATCAGTTGACCTGGGAATATACTGAAATTGTCTCATTCATTGATTACCTTGTTCGAACCTACATTTTTGGTCCCATATTCACGAGATCCAAAGATTCTAGAACTCTATATTATTCCATTCGTTCCACGTTGTTGTCAGGAGAAGGAATCGTTTGAGTCCCACAATACTTGGGGAAGTAAATCCTTTTTGTTATGCTAGAAGCATTAATCTATATTCATTGTAATTTTATGTTGTTGCATTTGTGAGCATTTAATCAACTCAAATATATTTATTAACATCTTCCATCTTGCATACTTCGTTTAGTTTTTGGTCTAGAATTTATTATCCTTAACTAAGATTCAAACCCCCCAAGTGACTTTGCCAAAAGGGTGTAAACCAGAAAAAGAATAAAGTTTATGATTGAATACATGTTTCCCTCGTTTAGTAGAACTTTGATAAAAATAAGTTTCTAGTAGTACGTAAATCTTGGCAATTCTTGATAGAAATGTTTTCCCTAACATTCAATGTTCAAACAAAGAATGGTCGTTAAGGTATTTCAGTTCTTAATAATTATTCTCCTTATATAAGCAAAGCAAAGTTCTCACTTGGCCACAACAAAAGTATTGATATCAGTGCTAATTAATTAAGTCTTGAAATGGCTAAATTAGCTGCTGCATCCTCCCCCATTGCCCTTTTTCTCACTTTGAATATTCTGTTTTTCACAATGGTTAGTTCCATTAATTATTACCCAACAGTTACGGGTAAATGTCCTACAGACTCATCCAAATACGAAGTGTGTGGTGACTTATTAAATGATTTGGTGCACCTTAATTTGGGAAGTCAAGCTAAGACCAAATGTTGCTCTCTCATTCAAGGCATAGCTGGTGCTGATTTTGCATATTGCCTTTGCGATGCCATTAAAACAAACAGCACCAGTATTCTCCCTCTTGACGCCCTAAGCTTGCTGTTCAACAACTGTGGAAAGAATCGTCCCTGGGATTTCCGATGCCCATAAGCTAATTAATTTTCATCTTTCGCTACAAGAAATTTGTGGCGACTTCTAGTAAAGTATCGTCAATGCGCATATATATAATTAGTTGCTTATATTTTCATCTTTCTTTCCGTGTGTTTGGTATGTTGTGTGCTTAATTAAGGTTATTGCTTAATATTGTCTCCATTAATGTATTATTGTACGTGGTTAGAGGGAATTAGGCTCGTTGCCTTCATTCTCTGTGTTGTATCCCAGTTCTATTAGCAAGAAAATGATATCGTCGTGATGAATTATGAATTACGTATAATGTTTAAAACTATAGTAATCATTCTCCCTTTTTAGCAATAACCTCTTATTCCTACCTATATAGCCTGTTCTGTTTGTCGGTTATAAACTAGGAAATTCTTTCTTTCTTTTCTTTTTTTTTTTTTTCCTCTTCAGAAGCATAAATATTTTCGAGATTGTTTTAGTCACAGCTTGACAATTCTTGAGATTTCAGAATGAAAAGGGGAAAGATAAGAAAAATACTATAATGGACATTTGTTCCAATCAATTTCGAAGCATGAGGGAAGGCAAGCTGGAAACTAAATAGAGATCGATCAAATAGCTGCAGACAGAAATTAGCATAGATAAGAAAAAGACAGCACTGTTTTGAACCTTGTTTTAGATTTGGTGGTAATGAATGTGTTTACCTCAAAAAATGTGAGTAACTATTAAAGGTGATTTGTGGTTTTAAAGATATGTGATTTATTCCAATACTAGTGAATATACAAGTAATATTAGGATTAAGTAAGAAGAATTGATGAACCAAACCAGTGTTGTTAGAGAAACCGGGACCTCGAGCTCGATTATATCGGGGGCCTCGAGGTGAGTTAAGAGTATGAACAATAAAGTAAAAACAATAAAGCTGAAGAACAATTGTGGAGCACAGTAAACGAGAAAAGCAGAGTAGAATGTTCTATTAAAGTGAATGAGATCCTCCTTACAAATCATTGGGGTCCCCTTTATATAGAAGGGGAAAACCCTAATATGGTACATTTCCAATTAAGGTAAAGAATTCTATCGGTACAACTGTATAGCAACCTAGTACGGACTCGTACTATTTCGTACAAATCTTATCCCTTAATTTATGCCCTGATCCACGTGTCCTTGAGAAATTCCCGCTCTTTCTTAAGTGTCATCGAAATTGTATTGCCCTCGTAGTAGATCATGACGGGTCTCCGATTTGCTCCCTCGAGGTATGCATTTTCCAGTCAGATCTGGTCTTTACTCCGTGCTGCCTGAACTCTAGCCCGGGGTACCGTTAAGTCCTTGAAATCGAGCTCCCCGATTTCGACCATATACAGATAGTCCCCGCGTTTCTTAGAATGAAAAGATAAGAAACGATCTGATTCTCGCCCCTTCGATGTCCCAATCATGATGTCAGTCTAGTGAGGTCAGTCGGTCCGTGTGACTGAAAAGTCGTGCAAAAGTTACGCGTACACAGTTTTCGAAAAGCCTTTAATGAAAGATGGCTATTGGTCGTCCGTTTAGCTTCTCCAACACGCTTAGACATCCTCTATAAATACTTCAATCCTTCATTCTTCAAACTTTTACTTTTACAATATAATCAAATCCTCTCTGCACTTATTCCTTCCTTATGCCCATTTCTTAACCAGCTCCTTCTTCTGAATTTTCACAACAAAAATGGCAAAAACTTCTAAGACAGTTCCACAAAAAGAGAAGGCCTCTTCGTCTTCATGCCCGTTGAAGAAAAAAATGGTGGTACCTCCTAGCATTGAGGAATGTACCCCCGGATTGTGTGATATGTCTTCCGATTTCAAGGTCGACAAGCCTGCTTCGGTTCTAGGACGATATGAACCCATGTCTTGGTATATTAGCTTAATAACTGAACTCAAACAAGTGAACGTAGATTGCCGTTGGGGAGATGAAGTGCACGTGGAGATCCCTTCACCTGATGAGGATATTACTACTCACAAAGCGGGGTACCTAAGCATACACATACCCATTTACCTTAGGTCCCGTAGATCCTTCTTTGCCCTTTCCATACCTAGTGCTCCTCGATTTCTGTCGACAATACCAAGCGACACTGGGCAAAGTTTATCCTTCCTTCTAACGGATTGTTCACCTAATTAGGTACTTTTCGAGTAAAGTCGAGGGGATGTCTTTTACCTCGACCACCTGGTCAGATTATACAGCCCTCGTCTCTATCGAGGTGGTCTGATAAAATTGCAACGTCGATCTCTAAAGTCTTTCTTCGCTAGCATCGATGAGGATAAAGACTGAGGATGGATGAGCCGCTTCGTTCAAGTCAGGGCCTCCGACCTGATTCCCGCTGAAAAGATGTCATTTCCCGAGGAATGGAATACGAAGCGTAAGTACAGACCTATCGAGCATGTTTCATTACTTAGACATTTTCCCTTTCCTTTGAACTAACTCCCTTTTGATGATGTAGCCGTTGAGTGGTACCCAGGTGCGGTTGTGGACCTCCCGGGCTGGGTTCGGCAACTACCTTCCGTTTCCACATATGCCGAGCGCGTCTTGCGCAATTTGGCCAAAGGCCGATGGGAGGCCAAAAACCACGGTGAGTCCTTATTATTTGCATATTTAAATCCTATAGTGAAATACTCCTCAGCAATACACTTAACTTAATGCTTGTGCAGGCCTCAGAGATGTTGTTTCGATGAGGTCGCCCCCACCTGGCGAGGGAGAGACCCAAAAACCTGCCAAGGACAAGAAAAGAAGGAAAAAAGGGTCGCCGACGGAGTCCCCGAAGCCAAAAAGGGCCAAGCTTCGAAAACCTAGGGTCGATACGGTAGCTTTGACTCCGGAAACTGTTGCACGTCTTCGTGTGAGGACGAAGAGAGAGATGAGGGCGAGGGCGAAGATGCTCACCCGTTAATAAGTCGGAGAGGAGGAGGCACAAATCCTTCAAAGGCTGCTGAGCCGGAGGCCACCGAAGCGGTTCAACCTCAAGTTGAGGAAGTTCCCGGGGGGAGCTTGATCGGGTCCAACCCTGCACCACTATAGAGTGGCGAGAGCGGTCGATGCAGCTTTTACCCGAGAAGGTCGGGATCGAATCCACAGGGAGGTAGATTTGGGGATTGGACTCCTATCTAAACTAGCAATGCGTAATGCCCTTAATTACTCTTCCAATCATAATTGTTCGTTTTTTACTTCTAATATTATAGTATTGAGATACTAAATTAAACTAAGAATGATTGCTTGAAAGGTTTTCTAATAGGTAACGAGGCACTAGGGAAGTGACTTTCCCCTAGGTGAATACTTGACGGGTTCTAAAGTCTAAGGCAAAGTTGTTATGTTTGGGATCGCGATATAGCCAATGCACGACACTACTCACTCTATACCTCTCGGTAGCTTGAGTGACTTTGCCCTAATTGACTTTCTCAAGGCCAATTGGGTGTCGAAATTATGCAAGCAATGTAGGCTCAAGTCGAGTATTACTATCTCTAGGTTTAACCCTTTAATTGGGGATATCAATCTCTTGAGTACGCCCCAATTCCTTGTTGGACTGATTACCTAGACTCAAGCTCTCTTTCTCAAGAAGAGCCCAAGTCAAATAGGCACAAATTAGTGTTTGCAACCACTAATTCAACATAAAAAACACAAATCAGTCCAAATATCAACCACCCATAAACATCTAAGCCTTAAAACACAAGATCCATCAAATACCCACACTAGGGTTGAGCCACAACCCTAGCTAATGGGTCTAGCTACTCATAATAATGGAAGAAAAGAGATAATTAGATGAAGAATAACCCATATAATGTGTTTACAAGCTAAGAATTAAAGATTCAATGATAAACCCACTATAAAATTACTCAAAATAGGCTAAAACCGCCGTTCACGTGCTCAGCTAAAAGTTAGATACCCTAAAAATCTGAAAAAGAACTATTTATACAAGGCTGAAATTTCTGGACAAAAATACCCCTGACGGAGGTACCGCGGACCGCGGAAAATGCACCGCGGCCGCGGTGAGGCTTTTTAGCTTCATTTCTCAGGCTCTGAATCTGGCCACCGCGGACCGCGTAAAATGCACCGCGGCCGCGGTGGCTTCACTGCGGTCCGCATAAAATGAACTGCGGCCGCAGAGCTCTCTGAATCTCCTCTCTGCGGACCGCACAAAATGGATTGCGACCGCGGTGAGGCTGCTGCGGTCCGGACAAAATGGACTGCGGACGCGGTGCTTGAGCTTCCAACATTTGCATCTCTGTGATCTTTTCCACCGCGGACCGCACTAAATGGACTGCGACTGCGGTGGGTCTTCTACGGCTGCAGTGGATTTTATGCTGCAGCAGTGCCTTGACTTGTTCTTGGTACTTGTGCAGGTTTAACTCCTTTTTAAGCTGGTTTTGACTACTTGTCACTTTTTTGACCAAACCCTGCAAACAAGTACAACATGTGAGCCTTTGGGACTATTTGTATACATTTCTAATCAAAACTCAAGTAAAATGGAGTGTAAAATGAACTAGAATCCCTAGTTATCAACTCCCCCAAACTTAAGCTTTTGCTTGTCCTTAAGCAAACAAAATAAGTCTCACCTCCTTAAGAATACAACCAAGAAAATTCAGCTGACCTAAAGTGACCTCATCTAGCATCAGTTGGGACTAACAATTGCCCTCTATTCAAATGAATCATTAAGAACATTCAACCTTTTAAACACAATGGTTTTAGTGCGACACAAAAGCATCAAGGATTGACTCAACTCATCAAAGAAACTCTTTCTACTACTTTGGTCATTGTGGAACCCAAACTCATACTCCTCAACTCTCCATAAGCAAACCTCACTTTTAGATTGTAGCACTCAGAACGAGGGTTGTGGAAAACACAATCACCTCTCAAAAAAAGGTCACAGGTCCGGCTCTAAGTACCATAAGCTTGTCCCTTATGTGAGTCACCACTAATGTAAGCTTCATTCAACTCAAGATCATATAGGGCTTTTGTGGAGATATAGTGAAGGCTTTTGGTTCAGGGTAGGAAATATTTGGTCTAAGTAGGTTCCA